TGTGAGACCCCTGTGTCCCCCCAGGACCCTCAGTGTCCCTGTCCCATGCTCACCAGGCAGTCAGAGTGCTTGGGGCCGGTGCAGCCGGCAGCGCACTGCTCGTGGCAGCAATCCGTGGGTTTCGTGCCCTTGCAGCGTGGGCAGCCGTGGCAGATGCTGTTGGTCACTGCAGGGACACAGAGGGACACGTTGGGGACACAGAGGGACACGTTGGGGACACAAATTCCCTCCCTCCAGGCAATAGGGGAGACACCAGGATGAGGGGTTGGAGGGTAAGGGGGGTTCCGGGGTGAAAATCTGGGTGGTGGGAATTGAGATGGCAAATAAAAACAGTAGGAAAGGAATTTAGGGGGGGAAGTTCCCAGGGATGGGATTTGGGGTGTAAGAGGAGGCTCCCAGAGCAGAGATTTGGGGTGTAAGCAGAGGTCCTCAAGGCAGGGATTTGGAGTGTAAAGGGAGGTTCCCAGAGCAGGGATTTGGGATGAAAGGGGAAGATCCCAGAGCTGGGATTTGGGGTGTAAGAGGGGGCTCCCAGAGCAGGGATTTGGGATATAAGCAGAGGTCCTCAGAGCAGGGATTTGGGGTGTAAGGGGAGGCTCCCAGAGCTGGGATTTGGGGTGTAAGGGGGGGGCTCCCAGAGCAGGGATTTTAGGGGATGTCTGGGACCAAGATTTGGGTGTTATGGAGGGCTCAGTGGAACAAAGATTTAGGGGCTAAACAGGTCAGGGTGCTTCTAGGGGCAAGATTTAGGTGGTAAATGGGGGGTCAGTGGGACACAGATTTGGGGGGGCAAATGGAAGGTCCAGAGATTCTCTGTAAATTGGACTTAAATGACAAGCAGGGCTCAGCAGGGCAACAATTTGGGAGTGCAAACAGAACGTCCAGGGATTCTCTAGGACACAGATTTGGGTGCCAAGTGGTGATCAGTGAAGCAGGGACATACAGAGGGAAGGAAAGGGGTTCCCAGGGGCTTTGGGGGTCTCTGAGGGGGGGCTCAGAGCCTCTGTGGGCCCCACACTCACATGTCTGGCAATCCTGTTTGCCCTCACCCCAGCAGTGCCCCTCAGCACAGAGCGCCCGGCAGTCGGGACCTGCACAGGGGGGAGAGTGAGCAGGGGGTGCCAGGAGGGGCTGGAACCCCCCCAGAGCCCCCCCTGGCAGCACAAACCCCCCACTCACAGCTGCGGGTGCGGGTGCTCTCCACCTGGATGTCGGCACGGAACTCGTTGTGCCGGTGCAGGATGTCGCTCCACAGGATGGTCTCCTGGAAACACAGCTCGGGGTTCCTCTCAATGAGCACCCCTCCCTTCAGGATCTCTGTGGGGGGACAGTTTGGGGGGTCAGCATGGACCTGCAGCTCCCACTCCTCGGTAGGGAGCTGGGGAGCACCCAGAACTTTGGATTCCCAGACCGGAGCTGGCAGCTCCCAACTACAGGAGCAGCAACCCACATATCCGAGTATCCCAGACAGGGCTTCCCCACCTGTGAGGTGCCTCATGCCGAGCTGCCGCAGCCCCGGTGCCCCGGCGGGGCCGGCGTTGCCCAGCACGGCCAGGGCGTAGCGCTCCTGGAAGAGCTGCGTGCCGCGGATGATGCGCAGGCTCTGCAGCTCCAGCCCGCTCACTTGGTTCTCCGCGATCAACACGTAGCCCTGCACCTCCTTGATGTCCTGCCATGGGGGGGACACGGGTGAGGGGTCGGTCAGACCCTCGTCTTTCCCCCCTTTGGGGCGTTTTAGCGCTGCGCACCTTGAGGAAGGAGGTGTCGGCGTCGGCGGGCAGGTAGGTGAGCTCCAGGTTGCCCTGCACCACCTGGCAGCC